GTTTTCATGCAAAAAGAAATAGATTTGCACGACAAACTGAGCGAGAGCGACTAGTGTGGCCGTGGGTGCAAGATCAGGCTGGAAGAGCGTGGGAAGAAGTTTGGATTTTACTGGAAGGGCGGTGGGTCACAGAGGATCATGCAAAACATCTTACAAGGCTGTTCCTGGTGGGGTGTGGCGAGAGAGAATCTGGAAGGTGATCTGGGAGCGGTTTGAGTCCCTCTGGAGATGGTGGCAAGTCATGCCATCGAGGGGGAAGAAAGAAGATACTTTGGATGTGGATTTTGTTGGTTGTGTTTATAGGAGAAAGTGTTGGATCAGGATAGAGGAGACAGTGTGAGGACGCTGCTCATATTCTTTGTGCGAACTTGGTAGATTGCACAGATGGTACAAGGTTTTATTTGGGGATGGGTGGGTGGGGGAGGGTTATTTAACATTAGATGTGTTTACTCTGAGAGCCATTTGAGATTCCTTAGTGAAAAAATTGAGAGGAGGTCTATTACTCAAGAGACATAAGTTTCTGCAATGGAGATGTCTATTTAAGAATTTCTGGCCAATGGGTAGTACCGGTAGCCCTCTGGGTAGATGGGATCACCCAGGGAGAGATGTTGACAGAGACAAAGGGAGTCAATGTGGACCCTGATAAAGTCCAACGTTCTAGTAGTCTGAAGGTGGCCAAAATACTCTAAGAGGGCTGTTTCTCAAAGGGAATGTGGTGTTAGGGAAACCAAGGGAAGAGGGTTTTAAAAAATGTGGGAGCGCTGGATTGACTACTTGGAGTTTGAAGGGACAGTAATGAGATGGGTGAAAGCCAGATTCAGTGCAGAGGTGAAGGTGCGAGCCAGGTTGGGGTTAATAGAGAGAGATCGTGTGGACGGATGGACAGACAGACAGACAGACAGACAGACAGACACACACACACAGAGAGAGAGAGAGAGAAGACTATCTACAACTCTTAATAGTTTGAGCTCTGAAGGAAGAAGGCAGTACTGGAGGGAGTGGAGCAGAAGGAGTAGGGAAGGTATTTAGTTGGTTTCTTTCCCTCTGTCAGAGGAGCTTCTGTTACCGAGAGTGACTTAACAGACTTAATAAAGAGGGAGAGATCAATGACGCTGGAGGGATGGCCCGTAGATGGTGGGCTCTCATGGTGGACTTGGTGTTTGGTAACAGGAGGAAAGAGACACAAGTCGGCTTTTGTTACCTACTGCAAGTGAGTATGTGCTAGATACTGTGCTAAGTGACTCCCTGATATGAGCCTCCCCATTGTATAGACGAGGGACTGAGCTTTAACAGAGAGGGTCAGCAGAGGTCTTAATTCGGAGCTCTTACCTTTCTTTCTCTTCCTTACCCGTGTGATGGTATATTACTTTTCTCCAGCTGTCGTAAACCATCACAGATGGAGCCGCTACAACAACAGACATTTATTTTCTCACAGTTCTGAAGACTTCCAGTTCAAGATCAAGGTGTTGGCAGATTTGGTTTCTCCTGAGGCTTCTTTCCTTGCCTCACAGATGGCCACTTTCTCGCTTGTCCCCGCTGAGCCTTTCCGGTGTGATCCTGCATTACCGGTGTCTCCTGCATGTCCTGATCTTTCCTTACAAGGACACAAGGAAGATTGGACAAGGAGGCACAGCACTGTAATGACTTCATTTGAACTGGGTTATCTCTTTTAAAAGCCTTTTCTTTAAGTACCTTCACTTTTTGAGGTTAGGGTTTCACTTCTGAGTTTTGGGGAACACACTTGATGGCAGGGGGCTTCTCATGGTATAAAGCTGGGAGAGTTCGCCGAGAACATTCTGAAGCTGTAACTAGAACAGGAGAGCGTGAGATTGCTAGACACACGGAGTCCTGAGGGCAGTTGTGTTTGAAGATGATCAGACACGTCCAGTCTGTCAGTTATCTAAGTCTGCAGCGGCAGATTGGTACATGTGGAGCAAAGAGCAAGTTGTCTTTGCCTTGATGAGCTGCTGGGTCCTCCTGGGTTTATGAGCCAGCCAGAGCACCATCCCCTGTGCACTAGTTTGAAACGCAAATGAGCTTCACTCGAGCAGAATTACAAGTTATTATTTTTTTTGTCGGAGTTCCTTCTGATTGCTTTCTTTCCTCCTCCTTCTCCTCTTCTTCTTGTTTTAAATGTGTGAGGGTGTTTTACCTAAGTGTATGTAAGAGTACCTACCGTGTGCTTGTCTAATGCTTATGGAGGCCAGAAGAGGGTATCAGATCCCCTGGAACTGGAGTTACAGCTGGTTGTGAGCTGCCATGAGAGTGCTAGGGATCAAAGCTAGTTCTTCTGGAAGAGCAGCCAAGGGCTCTTAATTGCTGAGTCATCTTTTCAGCCCCATGATCATTTTCAGGTAGTTGAAATGAAGAGAATTAAATCTATGAGGGCTGAAATTTTGTTGATTCTCCACTATAGAAAGTAGTTTGAGCATTTTCTAACCTGTTCTGTAAACTGACTTTCATGATTGTGCATGCAATCTTCTTTACCCCTTTCTTTCTCCTTTTCTTCTACCTTTAATCACTGATAACTTTCTGAGAAAGTAAGGTGTCTGGGATCTAAGAATAAAGAATCCATAAATACTGTTTTTGTGTGTTTTACACACACACACACACACACACACACACACAGAGACAAACAGAGAAAGAGAGAGAGAGAGAAAGAGAGAGAGAGAGAGAGAGAGAGAGAGAGATCAAGTGCTAAAACTGTTATTAACTCACCTAAATCTTATGACTATGTTGGGTACCCACTCAGTTCTAGGCACTGTCTTTAAGATTGGGATGGGAAGCATAAGTAAGATGCTTCCCAACATATTTCTAACTTGATATAGAAAAATAAGCAGGTAAGTGAACTATGTGAATCTGTAAATGCGTTGTGAATATGTAAACCATACAAAGATCTCAAAGAAGGAAGGGCCTATAGTGTCTGCTTTTCCATGCAAGTTTGGAAACTCATTGAAAGGAGCCGTCCCTGCACTTTAAAGCAAGTTGCTATGAAAGTATACCCATTCATCTCATAAACATGTTTGAATGCCTGCCATCATTGTGAAATGATGGTTTTAAAGCTCTTGAATTATGAGCAAGCCATTGAGTTGGGGTATCTTTGACTTTTCTCCTTATTTCAGCTTGTTGCCCAAATCCTGTGCTATCATCAAGTTTCTTTTTAGATAGTAGAATGATTAATGATGTTCCCTAAATTCTCCACGTAGACCTTTGGAGTGTTAAAAGTTGAGAAAAGTCCCAGTAATAAAACATCATTGTGATAGTGGGTGTGAGGAAGTATAGGCTGGCCTGGCATATATCTCAGATATTTGGAACGTAAAACTATACATTAGCATGAGTGTTTCTTGTAATGTCATTATAAAAATTAAGATGAATGACAGGTCAAAGACATTTGGAAGAAAATGGATTCTGTTGATTATATAATTGATATATTTTCCAGATATTACCTATTTATAGTTTATCTCAGAAAATTTGTTTATAATCAAATACCATGGGTTAAATGAAACAATAGATATTAAAGTTATTGTTGTCTTTGGAGAGGATGTGTTGTGCAAACCCAAGGCCGTCTATCTGCAATGTGAACGTATTTCTTTGGGAGAATGCCCAGAAGCAAAAAGGAGAAAAGGCAAGTCCGATAAATGGAAGATGTTACATTAGAGTAGTGATTAGCCAAACAACTGCTGACAATTGCTTTGTGATGTTGTGTCATGAACATTTACTGTGTGCATGCTGGCTCAGTCTCAGAACTGTATTCTCGAGTGTGTCGTAGAGGAAAGAGCACTGGATCATGAGTCAGGAGAACTAACCGCTAGCCCCGCCCTACCGCTATCCTCCTGTGTGCCTCATTTTCCCACCTTTAAAATGAAGTGGTTAGGGGAAAGGGGGCGCTAAGCATCTCTGTGCTCTGATACTTTATTGTTCTGTGGTTCTCTGTTCCACACCTGTCAAAAGCATTTGACTTTCTTTAAGTTGCTTAAGCCAGCGTTTCAGTTAGACCCATCCAGGAGTTTGTTCCCACTGGCTGTTGGGAACAGCAAAGCCTTGCTTCTCCAGGACTTCAAATGTCTTCTGCTAACTGCTGACAGTGAGCCATACCACCTAAAAGGCTCCCTGGCTAGCCTTAAAGATTGAAAGGACAAACGGACAGTATTGAGAACTCTGTGGAAGAGGAGACCAGAGAGACGTTGATCATCATGGCTCCTTGGGATTTGCAAAGAGGATTGACTAGAGCTGGGCCATTCACTACAGCCAGGTCAAAGGTCAGGTCAGGAATGTGGACAATGCCGGTGACTCCAGGTAGGTGTAGGAGGGTAACGGCACGTGTCCCTCCTGTCTCGAGACTGGGAAGCCAGTCTCAGAAAGCTATTAGGATGGTTTCTGATTTATGCAATTCACTGGAAGAAAAATGTGACTTTTATTGTTTGTGTTTTTATTGCCACACAATCATTGTATTCTTACTTGATATCCGCAAAGTAAATATACTCTTAACATATTCATAGTTAGGTATTCATTAAACATACTTTCATGATTATTACTAAGTTAAAAAAATCGATTTTAATTGATGCCATTATACAGGGGCCACACATTTTTTTTTTCAGGGAATTTTAGAGTTTTGAGGTTTTTTTTCCTTCATAGTAGCTATAACTCTCTAGTGACAGAAACTTATATTTATTACTATTTTGATAACAGGAAGCTTTTCTGGAGATAATTAGAAAGCTATTACAATAATGCTTTTCTTAGTGACTGAAAAAGGAATAGACAGTATGTGTAAGGATATTAATCCAGATAAAAATAATTTTAATTGTTGAATGCAGTTATAAGAAATTAGGTGTTTTGTATTAGTGTTTCTATCATGGAATTCCAGTAAAAACTTACAGGGATTTTTAAAAATATGGATTGAATTCTCATACATAATTATTCACTTTGTGTTTGATACATATTACAAGAAGGTTCTTCTTTTTCTTCTTCTTCTTCTTTTTTTTCTTTTTGCTTTTATCTAGTTTCTTCCAAGATCCGGTACTTGCAGGAATATCATAACCGAGTTCTCCACAACATCTATCCCGTGCCATCAGGAACAGACATCGCAAACACCCTGAAGTACTTCTCCCAAACATTGTTAAGGTAAGCCTCACATACCCTTGACTTCAAGAGAACTATTAGGTAGTATCGTTGAATTGATTGGGACCTAATTTCACACTGAGCTGAAAGTCTTGAAAGGCCTTAGTGTCTAGTGCTCTGTCAGAAGAGTCTCTGGTCTCCAGCCCCCTGGGTGTGTCTAGCAGATCAGACCCCAGTTTCCTCGGAAACATGGGCAGCATGATTGTGTCCTGCTTCCTCAGTTGAGAGTTCTTTGGGGAAATCTGCAAATGGTAAAAACGTTGTGTGTTTGACACAACAGCTCAAGATTAAGGGAATAAGATTTGAGTCTTTAAAATTGAGAGTGAGGAGCACTTAGAGTCTAAAAGAAATGGAGAGTTTCGTAGCGGCCTAGGCTTGCTGCTGGTTCATCCCGGTTCTCAGATTAGTGCAGGAGCTGCAGCTGCTTCCATCCTCTGTGTCACACCCGATATTAAGTACTGCGAGGACAAGGGAGCAACAGCGCTGGAGCTCTTTTACCCTGTCTCCTTTTACTACAGGGCAGAGATCCGAGGGGGCATTCCCCTTCACCCTTGCCGCTAATACAAAAGAGCAAGACGAGCCTTGTCCAGCTGTAGAACTGTCTTTGGCAAACAGAATTGAATTCAGAATATTTCACTTAGCATTACACCCCACCTCTTAGTCTCCCCATTGCCACAACCCCTCTTTGAGTTTGCCCCGGACTTACTGCCGTTCTGTTATTTAGACAACAGCAAGAGTTCTGTAAGTCAGGCATAGGGAGGGCAGACCTTGGAGTGAGTGTGGTGGCGCTGGAGTTTCCAGGCATCTGACGTTTGTTGTATGCAGACAGGCTGACCACTTACAGAGAGACACATCCTGCATCCAGTCACTGGTCTTAGGCATTGTGTCTACTGTTCTTCTTTGGATATTGTCTTATCTTTAGAATCCTTAGTATTCCTGTCCTAGGATGGAGGGATTCTATTTATCAGGTTCCTGAGGTGTGTTAGGCTCACATAGTTGGTTTAGGACCCTGGAGCAAGCCACTTCCCCTTTTCAAAGGGCACAGCAAAGTTAGCCAGGTTTTCTTAGTGATAATCAGATGAATGTGGGAACCGAGGCATCCTACTTCATCCTTTTACGTTCTCCTTTCGCCTTTGAAGCTGGGTGCCCCAAAGGGAAACTCTTTCCCATATTATAACTCACAGTGAGGGACACTTTCCTGGTAGGAAACATTGTGGATTCCATTTGTGAAGAAATGGTGACACCTTTGTTGGCTTCAGAGTGTGCCACTCAGGGCTTTGAAGTTGTGCCAATAAGTTAAGAAATTTAGGACACCGCGAGGGTTCTGTTTCAATCATTATGATGAGGTCAGGGGTAACAGCATCTTCATGGTAAAGGTGGTGTTCCAGTGGCCTGTTCTAGAGATGCTCGGAGAAGATTTGTGTGACTGAGTCCATCTTAAAGGGGTGTCAATATCAACAGCCGTTAATGGCGACAGTGACAATAGCTACCATCACCATAGCAACATTATATCATGATAGCTATATTTCTTCACATCAAGTGCTGCTCCAAGCTCTTTAAATGTGACATTTCCTTTAACACCTTGTAATCAGATAAGATAAATACTATACATATTTCACAGATAATGAAACTAAGTCACAGGCGTGGTCCAATATGTTGCTCAGTGTTATAGATCTAGTAATTTTGGAGTCATTAGGTCATTGGTGATCTTAATCCACAACACACGCTGTGCCACCTGTGCCATGCTGCTGCTCTCTGGTTATTGTCACCCAGCAGGGATACTTCTCTTTAATAAAAACTTGATTTCGCCCTTGGGAATGCTAGCTAGCATCTGACAGAAAGTCGTAGAGTGCTGTTGGCTGGCTATCTGTAAAATCCAGGGAAGACAGGGAGTGTTTAGTGCTTGGCGTCTATTCAGAACTTTTGCTCCATGGAGCTGACTGAGGTGATGTTGCAGTTCCACATTGCTCAGAAGGTAGCTGCAGGCGGTGGAGCAGAGCAGGCCTGGCAGACTCTGTGCATGCTCACCTAGTACACATGTGCACAAGACACTGAGGAATGTAATGCATCATAGATCAGACTTGAATAGGAGTATTTCCAGGTCGACTGTTTGGTCTGAATCTTATGTATTTCTGATCTTCTCCGTGCCCACTGGAGCTTTTTTCGTTAAAAAGATGGAAATACAAAACTTTTATCTTTTGTTCTTTGTATTGAATCATGTTAGAAACCCTTTCGCTGTTGGCACCTGCATCAATTCCAACCATATTTATATACCTTTCTCTTAAAAAGCTAGTAGAAAGTTTAAGCTACATGAGATGAACTAAGTTTTTGGCTCTTTGATTATTGCCAGTAAAGTTCTCTACCACAAACAAGGTGGTTCCCTTTGCGTTTATATAATTTTTTACATTCAGAACTACTTGCTGCTTCCAGAACTCAGGTTCTTGCAAAGAAGTAGGAAGAACAAGCTGGGTACTCTGGCTCCTGTCTGATGTATCCAAGCTAGGGAGCTGGAGGCAAGAGGAGTGAGACCCTGGGAAGGACTATGTGGTATCATTTTGCAAAATTCAGGTGGCTTTATTTGAGTTAGGATTATATTGTTAGAATGCTAGTTGTCTGGTATCTGTGCATTCATGCAACCTCACTGCATTCGTGAAAACTTTGTATGGCAAAGCTGAAGTTGGCCTAGATGGTCAGTATCAGTCATTTAGTTCACTGGAGGAGCGAGAGCGCTATCACCACAGCTGACTATAACATTGGCTATAGCATCTGCATTAGATAATTCGCCTGCCGAGGTTCTCTCTACTCAAGTTGGAGAAGTCCTCTGTCATAGGCAGCGTACTGAGTCCTGTGCCCAGAGCAGCTTTTGTTCTATAACAGGGATCTGCAAAGGCGGACACACACAGACATGTATACGCATATGCACACATACACACAAAATTGACTTTCATCAAATTTCGTCCAGCACAGAAGCTTTCAGAAGCCTTTCCTGCATTAAGCAGTGGCTGGAGGCCCTGGGTGGGATGACGCACGCGTGCTGCGTTGTACTCATTTTAACTTAGCAGGGTTGCAAGTCTGGCAGTGGACACAGATTCACAGAACTTTCCCGTAGAGGTTGTTCTGCTTATTTGCCTTTTAGTATTAGGGATGGCAGCAAAGACTGTCTAGTTTACCCCTCAGGCCTCAGAGGTGTTTGTTCACTAGTAAAGACTGTCTAGTTTACCCCTCAGGGCTCAGGGGTGTTTGTTCACTTCATGCTGGAAGCATACTGTGGTCACATTTCCATCATCTAAGGTCTTTAAGGATCTTGCCCTTTACCTGGTGGCTGGATATTTATCGGCTCCTAGTGTCCTTCCTGTTTCAGACTTGTTGGAAATCTTCCTCTGTGTCTCTCTTCTGGTGTTCTTGGAGCTGCTCGAATGTAAATCTTTACATTTGCTACCAACTTGTTAGAAAATGTAAATATGCTTTAAATAGAGATTCTAGTTTCATCCCAATATTCTTAAGAGAATAGGAATTTTTAAGGATGCACACATAAACATATACACACACAGACACACAGACACATACACACATATACAAACATACATACACATACACACATAGATACACATACATACACACATACAAACTCAGACACACATACATATACACACATACACAGACACACACAGAGACATGCACACATATCCAGACACACACAGAGACACACATAGACACACAGATACACACAGACATAGAGATATGAGAATAAACACACACATACACACACAGAGACACATACACAGACACACACAGAGATACATACACATGTATAGACAATACACATATACACACACACAAACACACATAGAGACACATACACAGACACATACAGACACAAAGACATGAAAATACACACACATAGACACACACAGATACTCATGCACAGACACATACAGAGACACAGTCTCACACAGATACACACACAGACACATACAGAGACACGTACACACAGACACACACAGACACATAGACACAGACACAGATAGACAGACAGACAGACAGACAGACAGACACACACACACACACACAATCTAAAGTCCACAGAATAGTTTTAAAGCATAGTTTAGCAAGTCAATTTATTTAGTGCATAGATGCAGTGCAAATGTCAAAATTTTTTGTATAGAAAGTTGATTTGATGGATTAGGTTTCTGTGCAAGAAAGGCCTCAGGACGCTCAACCCCCTTGCCCACCCCAGGGTTCTTCTTCCTTCTTGACAATGGAAGCCAGTGGCCACAAAGAGGGTCCGAGAGGGAAAGGATAGGTGAAAAGCTGGCCACAATGTCTGACTCTTCTGACAGGGCATTCTTAATATTATTTGTGATTGAATCTGTATATAAACCTTTGGGAAAGAATTTCAGATGGATGTGGAAATCGTTGGTCATTCCCAAGTTAAACAGTTTGGCTGGGGAAATAAGTAAATTTTTTCTCTGAATAAGACATCATAAAACAAAACATCATGAGATCACAATGCATTCTACATTGATTCATGAGCCCTTCTTAAGTTTCCACAACGAACACATTCCTTACATTGAGCCATGAATGGCGATTTAAAACTGGTTTCATGGGTAACTCATTTCCGCCATTTCTTTCCTCAACTTCACCTGCTAAATCTCAAGGCAGAGAGAGAAAGTTGTACTGTTTCAGCGCTGACATTCTTCCCTCCCTGAATGTAGGACACTGTCATTGCTGTCACCTGGGCATGCACATGCACAGGAGAGAAAAATATCACAGAATCAGCTTCCAAAGTTGAGCCATTAGCACTTGCTGCAGCCCCTCTGACTGTGGAACAACAGCAACGTGTAGTTAATAGTGTGCTATATTCCCCACCAAGGCGGTGGCTGACTAGACTGAAAGGACACTTTACATATCATGCATTTATGATATCCAACTACTTTTTTATTGACTCAGGGACAGTGTTGTTCTTTTTGAAGAGGCGCTGGCAGCTAGCCACCGAATGCTGAAATTTGGGAAATTATATCAACATGTCCATTTTTTGATTCTAAAGGGATTTCAGGGGATAGACTCCTATAGGACTAAAATTGTTGGTAACTGGACTTATCAATAATATAACATGTAAAGGTGGTAATCTGAGGAGTAATTTAGTTGTGTGGGAAACTATAAAAGTCTGGTGTAAAAATATATGTTCTCTATAGTACAAGTAGGCAGATGGTGAGAGGTGGAACGGCATTATCCTCTTGTACAGTTTAAGGTTACAAAGCCCAGCATAGCACACACTAATGCAGTTAAATTAAATCCCCTTTAACAAAAACAAATACAGCAGCTCCTAAGTTCTTTATTGCTAAGAAGTATTACATAACTATTCTGAAATTATCTTTGTTATCAATTGTTTTTCCTTGGACATTGGGTAACAGAAGACAGAGGAAATGGAGGTAAATTAGGCACATAGAAAATAAAAAGCATGTAGTCATTTTTTTACATTGTAACATATTTCTGCGCTAAGAGAAAATTAAAAAAAATCAACGTCAACTTGACATAACAAGCATGCTGGCACTAACCAGTTCCTCACACCACTGTGATATTGTAGACGTCACATCGTTAGCTGAGAATTTAGTGATGTTGGATGCACATAGAGTAAGTATAAGACAATGAAAAGAAGCATTTAGAAACCGTTTTCTATTTTGACTAACGAATAAGTAAACCATAGGAAAGCACTTGAGTGCTGTAGACGCTATAGTGCGTAACGATTGCCTACTGGAAAATAGCATAATCTCATTTTAAAAACCTAAACATTTGGTTAAGAAGTAATTTGACTTTTAAACCAACAACTTTTCTGCTTTGTAACTTTTACTAAAAGTTTCATAGATGTCAATGGAGACTAAAAAGTAAAATGATATTTAGATACTACATTTAAGCTTTTTTTAACTTTCTACATGATCTTTTCTCTAGTTTTTAGTGAGTTTTGTTGACTAATAAAGTAAGTAACAGCAGTACCATCAGAGATCTCGTTGTGTGATGCACAGCTTTCCCGTAGATGACGCTTGCTTAGCTCCTAGAGTTTTCACGGTAACTATTTAATAAACACTGTTTGTATTCATAAGATAAAACGTTTCCTCCCAACATGCCAAATTAAAACACACACACACATACACACACACACATTATCTTTAGTTCACCAACACAACACATGCTATGGGCCATTTACTATATATTATTTTATAGCTTTTCCAATGTAGTTTAGTTAACACTTTAGAAATATGTATTATTTCTAAGTTCATATGCCTGTTTAAACTTCATTATCTCAAATGATACTGACAGAATGTCATGAAACAGTATCATAATATACATATAGACATTATTTTGATGCAATAAACATGTGATTTTTAAGACTTTCTTAATAAACGCACATGTTTATTCTTTGCTAAAACATGTTTCTGCAAGTGCCATACCTATATTTTGCAAGTTTCTATTTCCATGACGAGATAGTACTGCTACGTTGCTTTGAAAACTCTGTATAGGAATGAGAGCCCTCACAGATGAAGCCAAGTCAGCGTTCCTCATGCTAGGAAACTGCTCCTTCGCCAAATTGACAAACTGTAAAACATGGGTTTGGCACTGAAACATGCATTTTTATATTTTTGCTCCTTATAAACCAGATAACACATGAGATGCAATGCAACTTCCACAAAGTCCACCTGTGTTGTTGACATTTCTGAGCACATGGCTGTGCAACCAGCACGAGATCCGTAGACTGTGCTGCGGTGGCAATTGCATCTTATGTGGGATGTATCTGGTGTTTTATTATTTGTTTTAGAGTGTCATTTCAATGTAATGTGCTGTTCTTTGTGTCTTTGTTGTCTCTTTTTTTTCTTTGTCCCCCCAACAGCATTTTGTCCCGCACAGGGAAGAAGGAAAGCCAAGATGCCTCCAATTTGACAGTGCCCATGACCATGTGTCTTTTTCCTGTGCCATTCCCACTCACCCCATCTCTAAGACCGCAGGTCAGTTCCATCAACCCTACTGTTACTCGCTCCCTCCTTTACAGCGTCCTGCGAGATGCTCCTTCAGAACGCGGCCCGCAAAGTCGTGATGCTCAGTTGTCAGACTACCCTTCTTTGGACTACCAAGGCCTCTACGTGACTTTGGTGACTCTCCTGGATCTAGTTCCTTTACTACAGCATGGCCAACACGGTGAGCATCTTTACTGAAGTCTTTGGAAATGTCCATGCGTGCTTATGAATATTTATGATGCTGAGCAGGCGGGCTTGGAGAATGTTGTTACTGTCATAAATCTCTTGAAGGGTTTCGTGTGTTTGAAGCTTTTCTGACGATGAAACTTAATAATGGTGCTTCCCTTCCATTCATTTCACACAGTCCTTATGCCCAGGGTTGTTATTCAAGGGTTTGGAAGCAGGAGACAATGAACTGGAGACGGGGAATATAGCGGGCAGCTCCCTTCACTGATCAGTTTATTGTGGTGACTCTTGTTAAGGCCACAATTGAGAAGCTGAGTTTGAAGCTTTGCCCCAGAAAATGTAAGAGGTTGTGTTTGAAGAGCAGGCTCTAACCCTTGACTGATTCTGAGAGTTTCAGGGGCAAACCAAAAATTCTCTCCGGGACTCATTTTTCCTGGTAAAACAAATGCCTGATTTATCTAACAACCAGCAGTTACTGCAAAATGCTGGGGCAAGGGTTCCAGTGCATGGTGTGCTGGTTGTGTTTAGAGCAGAAGCTGTTGGTGAGCAGGCTCCCTCTCTCCACCCCATCCTACCGTGGCTTTCCATCGTTTGCCCCTCTGTTCTTCAGATCCACACAGAGGGGTGCAGTGTTGTCTGCTTAGCTATCCACTATGAATTTGGGGGAACTTAAAAGTTCTAAACTGTATGGCGAGTAGAGATTTGCTTCTTTAATGCACTTTAGAAGCCTGAGCTGTCTTTAAATCATTTGCCCTTTGGTCCCTGGAAGTGTGCTAACCGAAGTTTCATTGTTCAGAAAAGCAAGCTTTGGAAACGGGTGGGCAGTGGGGATTATTTTATTTTTTAATATGATTATCTTTCCTAGAAGAATGCTTAATGGTTGATTTGGTATGAAGTGTTTGTAATTGAAATCTTTTTTAAAGTTTCCTCTCATAAAGTGATGAAATTATTACTGAATTTGCTTTTCTTGTCTTTACAATGCTGTATAATGCTGTGGAGTTGCTTATCTTGAACCCTTTTGCTGTCTTAAACCTACCTAGCCTCTTGTGCTACAATCCTCTCCCAGATCAGAACCTAAATGAGACAAATTGGGAACTTGGAGGTGTCAAGTGGCTCACTGAGGCCTGTGCTCTGTGGCACCCAGTCCTACATTTATCATGGACTCACTTGTTCCTGAGGAGAGCCACTGGGTCAGAGTAGATGCCCTTTATTTTTAAGATTTCTTGATTGTGGTATTTCGCTTGGTAAATGGCAATTCACATAATGTGTGAATCTTGACAATTTCAGTATCGATGATTTATGTTTTTGCTCTCATGCCTATGCCTGCCTTGTGACCTTATCTTGATATTTATTTATTGTGTTCTTCTTCTGAATAATATAGCTTAGAAGCTAGGATAAAGCTCACCAGCATTCTAGTGAAGGGTTTAGAGAGCCCAGGCAGCCCCTTCCTCTCAAGGTTCTCTGCACAACCTGGGCCATAGGGAACTTGGAGATTGCAGAGCCAGCGAGAATCACTGACTGAGGAGTGGTCCTGCCAGCTGATGCTCTGAGCGAGCTTTCTACGAAGCTTCTTCTGTGAACTGAGTTAGAGTTCACTGATTGACTGCTCCCTGGCTAGAGTCCCTGTTCTCATTCTGGGTCCAGGTGGCCTATAGGAATGAACAGGAGTAGTTCAACTATGGGTGAATTGTGGTTTGGGCAGTTCCTGCTGTCTCCAGAGCTCAGTTTCCTTGGGTAGAAAAGACCCAAGGTGGATTTCCAGGCCCTGTCAGTGCTATTAGGCTTTTTAGCCTAAGCATGAAAAAAAGGCTCAATGAACATAGCTGAGGTGTCTCTTATGCACAGCCTCATGGAATTCACACCAAAACACCTGTGAATTTTCTGCTTGTTGGTCTGAGCTCAAAGGTGATGGACCTGGGCCGTCCAGGTTGCGTGTTAACCACACTGCCAGTTGACAGGCCAGTCAATATGGTTTGTTAATTCTCACGATTATTAGAAATAATTTGAGAAATGCACATGATTCTGGAAGACGAATCAGAGCCAAAGCAGACCAGAGTCTGAGACTTCATCATCTTAATGAATACAGAAGTGATCCATCTTCATGTCAAGCCTTGGCTGATGGTCTATATTTCAAGAGGTTCAGAAATATCACAATGTACATCAAATGTAATGGATTTATTCTTCATGCTTTCTAAAGCTGAATAGTTGTGGTTTGTTTGGAAGGCCCTTTATGTTTACTTCTCATGCAGGTAACAATGATAGTAATGTTAATGATAATAAGTGATAGCTAATGTTTTTGGAGTGCGTGCTATGCTGAGCTCTTTGTGTTTATTCCATCTGCACTCCTATCACGTCGGGTAGGTACTGCTGTTATCTGCATTCTAAAGCCTGGAGAGATGATTTTGAGGAGGGCCGGCTTCCCTGACAATTGACAGGATGCACAGGGCTGTGCAGTACCAGCCCCTAGCTTCCTTTCTGTGAAGCACATCTAATCTAGAGGTCACAAACTACCTCGCTGCCCGAGACTAAAGGTGTAGGACCAGTGTGGCTTGGTCAGTGTAGCAGAAATAGCCAGGTCTCAATTTCTAATACTGCCCTGGACTTTTCTGAAAATTTGACTGGGCATATCACTGTATTTCAGTTATCTTTATAAAATCCAATGGAGCTTAAAAAAAAAAAAAAGAAGGATGTCGGCATTCACTTGGAAAGTGCTTTGATTAATGGGATCAGGGGTCACCTGAATAGTGAGGCTTACAGATGACTGATACACTGATGAGAAACTCATGGAAAAGATTTATTTCTTAATATATTCACCAACTAACTGCTACGTGTATCCCACATTCTACTAAGCAGTGGTTTTCTGAATTCTTAGTAGAAAGGGAGCAATAGATGCTTTTATAGTTTAGACTAGATTATTAAAATATAAAGCTAGCATGTTTTGTTAATGGCACCATCTTCAGTGGCTGACTACTTAATTTTGTTTTGTAGATCTTGGACAGTCAATATTTTATACAACCACATGTTTGCTACCCTTTCTCAATGACGATGTTCTGAGCACTTTGCCCTACACGATGATTTCAACGCTAGCTACCTTTCCTCCATTTCTTCACAAGGATATTATTGAATACCTTAGCACATCTTTTCTACCAATGGCCATATGTAAGTTCAATCTCACCTAATCCTAAATTGATCTTTATATATTGTACAAACAGAAACTGTGTTTACTGTTACAGGCGCTTGACTTTCAAGATTGTAATGGAATCACGTGATAACGTACACCTGCTATGATCTAAATTTCATTGTTTCAGCATTTACGTTATGTTGGAAGTCGATGATGTGAAAAACGGTTATACCTTAGAATCATCACGTTATTCGCTCAGTTTGCCTTCATGGAATAGGAGGAAAGAATGTGTCAAAGCATTCTGTGTTTCCTACTTTAAAATTACAGTGTCTTTTTCCACGTTAGAAAAGAAGGTGGGCAGAGTGTTGTCTGATGTGGAGACCGCTTCTTCCTGCAGGTGAAGGCAGTTGGGGAGGATGGATAGGGCAGCAGAGAGTGGGGAGACGTAGCCTCCTGTTCCAGCTCTGCCTCAGATTGCTGTGAAGGGTTGTACAGCTCAGTTCATGTGGCTGAAATCTAATTCGATGCTGGTGACTGGATCAGCTTTCCTTCTCAGTATTTTGATGACAAAATGAGTCAAAATTTATGACATGCTTTGGAAAAAAAGCCAATGCCCATGACTCCTACGCAAGATATAGTCGCAAGCCTAGGACCGGTCTTGTTTGTCTATTTATTGATATTTTTGGAGACTGGGCCTCACAACTCCAGGTCGGCCTGGAATTTGATTAGTTCTGTAGTGAAGAACTTCTTCAAATTCTTGATCTGCTGTCTTGGACTCCCAAGTGCTAGGATTATGGCTTCTTTTCAACTTTTATGTACATAATTCTACAGGGTCCTCAGGCATGAAAGCAAAGAGAAAACAAGCAGAGTTTCAGCTTCTATAATCACAGCCCCTAAAGTGTTCTTTAGAAGTGGATTGTGGATTAGCCTATGTTTCAGGGAATAAGCTGAAAAAAACTATGGCTTAAGAATTCAACCAGATCAAGATGCAAATCTCAGCTCTGCCACTGGCTAGCTATGTGAATTTAGGCCAGTGACTTCAATCTTTGGTTGTTATCTGTAAAATAGTAATCATAGCTTCCTCGTGAACAATCACAGCTTCTTTGTGACTAGTAACCTTAGCTGCCTCACAGATAGCAATTGTGGCTGTATCTTGATGTGTCAAGGAGTAGCGTAATTAGCCTGGGCGCTGGTGAAGTGCCACCCGGAGCCTGCTGGCTGTGCAGTAGGTCTTCCTTACCCCCCCCCCCCCCACCCAAGATAGGGTTTTCCTATGTACCCTGGTTGGTCCAGTATTATGTCACTCATGGTTACCCTCCTGCCTCAACCCCCTGAATACTGGGATTTAGGTGCACACCACCATACCTGCTTTTCTTCTCTTGATTTTCTTAAAAAATAAAAAAATAGCTCTATTGGTCATGTCTAACTCCTGGTATCAATGCTCATCACATTAAGTTATGTACTCATGTCCTTATTAAAGTTGTTGTGTATCAACAGCTGACGAACACGTGTACCTTTTGGACTACACTGGTTCACCTTAGAGTGGAGTATAATTTAGGTATAGGACTGTACCTTTCATGTCTTTTCAGCAAAAAGTCCGACTCTTTGTTAATAATTTTAAAAAATATTCAGCAAGTATTTAATATTTCTAAACATCACATTTAGCAAATATTGAACATAAAATATCCTAATTATTTAGCAACAGGGAAAAATGAGTAAACTGATGATGTCACTCCAAGTTGTAGAATATTTCATTTCATTCCGTTTCACCTATGCAATCTTATGACCCAGTGCTCACTTGTGGATATAGTTTTAGAATGTTGTGATCTTGTTTTTGGATAAATAATGTCGACTGTTAAGCAAATAAACAGGCATCTTTAAAAAAAGATTAGCAGATGAGACAGTTTCTTGCTGGTAATAATCTAGCTCGCTGTGCCCCTGTTCTTGGGAATAAGTAATTTGTGGGGAGACATTGACGCAGTGAGCGTCTCCGCGCACTGAAGGTTGATCAGGCAGTGAGCGTCTCAGCGCGCTGAAGGTTGATCAGGTATTGTCAGCTCATTTCTTTGCAGAGCTGGTGACTAATTCCTCCTTAATTAGAAGCGGGGATTCCCAGACATAAACCTTGTCAAGTTAAAATCCTTGTTTTACACAAATATCTAAAGCAACTGAGTACAAAAATGAGCGATGCGAACCTAAAAATATGTGTGAATTTCAGTATTTCTTAGTGGAATGGCTTGATATTTATTCCTTTGAAGGTATGAGCAAATCACTCCATGTCTCTGAGACATAATGGTTTTTTTTTTTTTTTTAGCTTTAAAAGTGGGAATGTTCAGAAAACAGATTGAAACTCCCTGGCTGTTTCTGGCTTAATAATTCTAGGTTGAATAACATCAATGTTAATTTTTTAATTGTTTCTATCGAGCTATATGTTCTTCTCTGCTCCCCTCCCTTCCTCCCACCTCCCTTCTACCCTCTCCTTTTGATCCCCATGCTCCCAATTTACTTAGGAGACATTGTCTTTTTCTACTTCCCAATGTAGATTAGATCCATGTATACCTCTCTTAGGGTTCTTTTTGTTGTCTAGAGTCTCTGGTATTTGTGAATTGTAAACTGGTTTTCTTTGTTTTATGTCTGAAAGCCACTTATGTGTGAGTACATATTATATTTGTCTTTCTGGGTCTAGGTTACCTCACTCAATATGATGTTTTCTAGATCCATCCATTTGCCCACAAATTTCAAGATGTCATTATTTTTTTCTGCTGTGTGGTAATGTGTCTCCATTGTGGTAATGTACCACATCTTCTTTATCCATTCTTTGGTTGAAGGTCATTTAGGTTGTTTCCAGGTTCTGGTTATGACAAATAATGCTATGAACATAGTTGGACACATGTGGTATGATTGCGCATTCTTTAGGTCTATACCCAAAAGTGATATTGCTGGGTCTTGAGGTAGGTTGTTTCCTAATTTTCTGAGAAACTGCCACACTTGATGGAGAAAGGTCATCTGTCTATGTGTTACTTTCATTGGTTAATAAAGAAACTGCCTTGGCCTTTGATAGGACAGAAAATTAGGTAAGCGGAGTAGACAGAACAGAATGCTGGGAAGAAGGCAGTGAGGCAGTTGCCATGACTCTCCTCTCTGAGACAGCTGCAGGTTAAAATCCTCCTGGTAAGCCACCACCTCATGGTGCTACATAGCTTATTAGAAATGGGTTAAATCAATATGTAAGAGTTAGCTAATAAGAGGCTATAGATAATGGGCCAAGCAATGTTTAAAAGAATACAGTTTCCGTGTAATTATTTCAGGGGTAAAGCTAGCTGGGAGGCGGGCGGCGGGAAGCGGCCCACCACTCCTTCTACACACACTGACATCGAAAGGGGTTGTACCAGCTTGCATTCCCACCAGCAATGCAGAAGTGTTCCTTTTCCCCCACAACCTCTCCAGCATAAGTTATCATCAGTGTTTTTGATCTTGGCCATTCTTACAGGTATAAGATGAAATCTCAGAGTTGTTTTGATTTGCATTTCCCTGATGACTAAAGATGTTGAACATTTCCTTAAGTGTCTTTCAGCCATTTTAGATTCCTCTGTTGAGAGTTTTTCCTGTTTAGGTCTGTACTTCATTTTTTAAATTGGGTTATTTGTTCTTTAACATCAATGTTATTTTGCGTACTTGGCACACACCTTTGTCCACCCATTGGTAGGCCTGGTTCACGTGTTTACTTGTCACTCTGTTTTAGCCTGTTGGCTTGGGCGACTTCTCAGCAGCCTCCTGGTCGTTCGCTCATAGTCGCTCGTTGCCGTCTTTGAAATGAGCTGTAGCGGTGGCCTGCGTGCCTGCTCTTAGATGACTGGGTTGTTTCTTCATACACAGACCTCAAGACAGAAGGGACAGACTTTCAGGTTCCTGTTAGAATGGACTGCAGTGAGGATAGGAGTGGGTCTTATTATTTATCCATGCTGTTTCTAGTTTTGGTAGCTGTTACGGTATCTAGAGCTTCACACTGGATCAGGACAGGGACATTTAACTTGGTCCAGAGTCTTTTTATCTCAGTACAAAGATGTTAGATAAAAGATGTTGCATTTTCTAAATGCTTGGTAGTCTTTGCCAGAAGGACTTGCCTGACATGAAGGTGCAGGTTTGTAATGCTAGCACTTGGGAAGCTGAATCAGGAAGATCACTACAAGTTCAAGGCTAATGAGACCCTGTTGCAAACAACAAAACACTATACAAAACAAAATTTACAGGAAGATGTTAAAAAAAGATCTCTTTGGTATGGAATTTTTATAGTCAATGTAAAGCATGGATTTTTTTTCCGTTTTAAAATGAATATCATTAATGATTACATAATTACTGATTATATAATTAATGATCATATTGTCTGTATTACTTAGATGATGTAGTTCTGAGCTTTGAAGTGGATCCAATTCTCCAAACCAAGCATTGGATGCGTAGCATACATACTGTTCATGCCATCTTTGTTATCACTAATCGTTTATGCTTTTATTTTTAAATAACTCCTTTTAAATAACTCATCAATTTATTATAAAAACTCTTCTTGACATGTTTTTCTTATTAACTCCTCCAAAAATAAAACACAGATCTCTTTATTCCGTCTGTGTGGAATCTATGCTGTTTATAAAAGTGTATTAGAAGAGTTACTAAGCATTGAAAAAAACAAATCATTTGCACATCGCCATGGAAACCTCTCTTTTTCCGATAAAGGATTTGTGATTTGTTGTTCAAATTGAAATATGGATCTTTGGACGATGATACTTCCATATAGTTTGAATAGACATCTTTTAATATAATTTAAATAAACATCCATTCACGTGGGCTGTCTTATTCTGAAGACAGAAACCATGCTGAGGAACGGAGCAGCCCGGACTGTGCTACCGAATCCAGTTTCTTTCCTACCTTAGGTTTTCTCAGTCACTGACCCTCAGGAAAAAGAAAGGCTCATTCAGATCTTTGTGTTGATTTAAAAACAGCTGTATGATTTCACTGAATATCTGGTTCCAAGCTATGGTTTTTA